CCCAGATCTATCCAATGGCTGTGAAGATTCTAAACTAACACGAGTCTCATATGTGTCCAGTTTAAGGGTATTACACAAAAACACACCATAATAACATGAATCAAATATGTACTTTATTCATTTACATTAAATGTCATAATGTACACCATTCTGATTGGAGCTAAGGGCATACACTGTCTAACAAAACATGCCTAACAATATTTATTACAATAGACCCATTGACCTAAAACATTTGGTAAAGTTCAGACAACATTAGGATCAAAACATGAGAAGGATGATTGAAGTGGTATGGAAGCACAGGAACCTTTCTTTTTTTATCAATAAAGGACAAGCACTTTTCCAGATCAGCATAACTGAATGAGCAAGCGAATCTGATATTTAAGTACATTTTGCCACATCTTTAAAGCTGCTCCTAGTGATATTAATATTTTTAGCACAAGAGAAAACCATCTCGAAAGATTCTTCTTCATCTCATTACTTATAACAGATTTTCATAAGACCCTTCAAACATGTTCATTTTCTTTTATCCCCCTAGTCTTTACACCAATTCATTACAAGTTTACAACATCCACATTTCAGCTACTCTTATGTGCATAAGGCACCTTTATTGCTCATGTTCCTACTAAATAAAGCACCCAGCCTTAAACACATTTTAGAAGCATATTTCTATTAAAATCTCTGATATTTTCAGGAATATAGTCAGTGCCCCAGTTTCCCTGAGTTTCAAGTGTCCCAGTAAGTTTGGGTCACATCGGTACAACTCCTACAAACAAGCCTGCACCCCACACACCTATAACGTAGAAACTGACAAATTAGTACAGAATTTTGAAGCATGGATTACAATATTCATTTGCATATATGATTTAGTTTCAATCAATTATCCCCATCCTCCAAACATGTTATTTCACAATTCAACTTTTAACATTTAGTGTATAAATCTCCCAGCAATGCTTTGTTCTTCAATTGTCATGTGGAGATAGCATGTTAAGTCTCTGACAATCATTGCATAATTTAACTAGTTCTAGAGGTGACTGTAGATATCTTGTGGGCTTTTCAGAACAAAAAAAAAAAAATGTAACTAACAGATATTTTTTAACCTGAGCTGACAGGGCAGATCCATCCTTGAAACCTGCACGCCCAGTTCCTGCTATCGTAACAACTTTCTTGCTGTCTGGGTATAGTTTCTTAATCTGTGATTTGACAATAAACTTTAGAAAATGGACCAAACTGTCATTTGGAGCTTAAATAACTGGGTTATAGGGAAAACCACTGTTTGAAAATCTAATAATAAACTGAAATAACAGATGCATCCATATGGCTTTGGCCTCGATGAAATTCCTGGGTTAAAATACAATAAAAATCTGGTTGAATTATAAATATTTTCTTACTCAAAGAAATTAAATCAATTTGATGAAACATTCATACAACTTTAATACAGGTAGACCTAACCTTGATGTTCTGAAACCTTAATACAGAATTATTGCAAATCAAAGGTAAAGATGGAAGCCAGAATACTAATCAGAATGGGTGCACCAGAACAAGCCACCCTGACATTTAAGATATATGTGGTCAAATCTGCAGGGAATTCAGCACTTATGACTTGATGAATTCTGACAAGGTTAGCCACAATGTCAAAAAACAGAGCAGAATCTGACTATATGATTGTTTATTTATTTATTTTTTTTTTTGTGGGTGGGGCCTCGNTGGGGGTCACTTAATATCATCTTCATGATCATGAATAATACACAACGTTGATGGTTGTGGTCCTTAGTGGCTTAACTAATAGCTGAAAGGAATCTTTAGTAGGATCCATGAGTTTAGAGGATCCTAAAAAACACATGTATGGATGAGTATAGGCTTCTTTCTATCCTCCCACCATGACATGAGTTTTCTAGACCATTTTGTGGTACAATCCAGATTCCGTTTCCAAAAAAATCAAGGTTGAGGGCAATTCATTGTGATTATTCTTAGGTTTCCTCATAGCAACACCATATCATGGTCATGGCTATATGGAATGTCCTAGCTACTTATTAGTCGTATAACAGCTTCGGTCCTTTCAATAACAGGACACTATATCCTCTTAACAACAATTTTCCTGCACCACACAACACTCTTCATATGACTGTTCCTGGAACTAACACAAGGAATCAGTAAAACTGGCAAAACCTGAGTTATAATGTCATGAAGCTAGCTAAATTATTTGTTTGGTTATCTTATTCCAATCGAATGCCTTCAATAGTTATAGAACTGAAATATAACTCAAATTTTTGTTGGCTTCAATGCTGGCCATGCCACACCCTGAAACCAATTTTGTTAAAGGTGAATAAGTCACAATATGGAGTAATGTCCTCAGTATTCAGTGGAGCTAGTTAAATTACTCCTTAGTATTCAGAGGAGTAATACTAATATCCTCAGTAAAACTAGAAACACCTGAGTTATAATTTCACATGGAGCTAGCTAAATTATTTGTTTGGTTATCTTATTCCAATTGAATGCCTTCAATAGTTATAAGAACTGAAATATAACTCAAAATTGTGTTGGCTTCCGAGCTGGAAATGCCACACCCTAAAACCCATTTTGTAAAAGGTGAATAAGTCAAAATATGAACTAATATCCTCAGTATTCAGTGGTGTTACAAAATTATAGGCTGTAAATATGTAGTATTAGCCCAATTAGGAATAGCTTGATTATAGGAATTATTCTTTCTTTGATTTTCTTCCTATT